CGGAGATCGTGCGTGTCGAGTGCGCGAAATGCAGGCGAGAGTGCGATGTGCCGGAACCACGGTAGTCAATGCGCAATATCAACCCAACAGCAATGAAGAATATACTTGCAAGAAGTTTGAACGCGCCCCACAAGCTGTTGCAATATTCATTTCCCACATATTCCCACATAAGCCTTTACAAGGCAAACTGAGCCTTCTTATAGCTATGCATGTGCTATTTACCAACTTACAGCCCACTAGCTCGTAGGTCACCCTCTTTGCCCAGCCATCATGCCAGGGAACCTTGGCATTGTTGAGGATCACTTCTTCAGCGTCGCCCATGATGACCAGAGACAGGTGTGCCTTTGTTGGTCCTATGGAAGGAGGACATACCATGACGACCAGCCAGAGCTCATCCATGCAAGATGGCCAAACCAGTCCATAGCAAACAGATACTGGGTTGCCCATGGAGAAACATCGCAGTTTTGGCGAGTGGTCCAGTGGTCCAGTGGATGGCGCGACTGGGTGAGGAACAACAGCCGCAACTTCACAGATGCCTACACCATCCAGATCTGCTTCGGGCGGACACGCTCTAGACCCAACCAACTGTGTGTCTCATACCGTGACTTCTTCCTGATAAATTCTGTGTGGACGTCGTTCTGCGGAAGCACAACGCTATCCTTGCTGTGTACAAAGACTTGTCGCGAGCCGAACAGCGAGAGTGCGCTAAAACATCTACAGTGCCTGCTGTGTGTCACCTCACGCTACTTTGTCGCGTTTTTCTCTGAGACAGTCAATAACTCAATGACAAGCATAGTGGTTGGTTAACTACATCCTAGAAAAGCTGTGTCCTGGAGTGAAGTAAACGTTTTTGCCCGGAAGATATATATCGATGGATGCCTTTCCTCTGACAGGTCACTGCTTCGAGACGCTTCTGGCGTGGCTGCCTCAGCATTTTCTGTGTTCACTCCAGCTCGGTTTTTAACCTCGTGCTACTTTGTTGCATGTTTCTGTAGGAGAGGCGATTAGAAAATGAACAGCATAGTGGTTTTTAACTACATCTAGAGCGAAGCACATGTCACCCTCAGAGCGCCTGCGCCAACAGACTGTGTATTTTCCGTGGCTGACCTGTCGGTGCTGACAGTGACATTGCAGAAGCCTCCATACAACTTGAGCCAACTACCAAAATATCTACTCAACAGCAGTAACGAATATACTTGGAAGAAGTTTCACGCAACCCACAAGCTTTTGCAATATTCATAGCGCACATGAACCAGAGCCTTCTCATAACTATGCATCCGCTATTTACTACTTTGCAGCCCACTAGCTCGTAGGTCTTCCTCTTTGCCCAGCCATCATGCCAGGGAACCTTGGCATTATTGACGACCACTTCTTCAGCGTCAACCAGGATGACCAGAGGCAGATGATTCACACGTTATTGTTCAGTCTGCAGTGCAGCATGTGGTGATGCAATTGTTGAGATGGCAAAGAATTACAGAGGCAGTGGCAGCTGGGGTAGTCACACCAGCACCGGGATTGAGACCACAACCTACAACCCCAGGTTTCCCAGTGCCAGCGCCGACAACACCTGCCATCGGACGAGAGACTCCGAGGAAGAGAAGTGCAGAGGAGACACAAGAAGAACCTGAGGCAAAGAGACATGATGATGAGGACTCACCTCGGAAGGTGCATGAGAAAAGGGAGACAAAGCACGAAGACCAGGAAGAGAAGGAGAAGAAGCAGAGGACAGAGGATGTTGAGGTCGAAGAGAGGGGAGAAACAGGAGGAGCGAGCTCGACACGGCCAAGAGAGAATGAAGTTGAGCAGATGGGCAGTGCATCCCCCAGCAAGATTCCCAGGCTGTATCCACCGCAATATGCTGGAATTCAAGCCATCGAAGCGCACGGGGACGAAGAGATGGATGATGAGTTGGTCCCTGATGCATTGACTGAGGAGTTCTTTGCGGGTTACGGAGGAAATGAAGAAGATGAACCTCCGATCACCACAGAGGCACATTTGGAGAGGTTGGACCATGAGGCAAGATTGAACGAAGTGAACAGGATGATCAATATCCCTGCCATGGTCGAATGTGCCCCAGAAGAAGTGGAGAAGGAAGGAGGCTACATCATCTCGACAAAGTTCGTGCTCACATGGAAGCACAGGCTTGAGCAGGGAGGTTGGTTTCGAAGAGCGAGGTTGGTGGCCAGGCAGTTCAAAAGCAGCGT